GGCCACATACTCAGAAAACGGTTGGCAAATGTTGGCGTCCAATCCAGAGCGGCGATTCCCAAGGTATGTACGACCTTGAACAGTCAGTTGAAAATCCCCACAAGCAGTCCAAGCGACATACGAGTCGGGGAGCGAAGGACTGCGCTGAGGACCTCCTGTGACTCGTTGATTCCCTCAGTCAACTTGCGCTGACGATCTTCCTCGATAATGAGCTAGGTGATCTTAGTACTAAACGTGGAATGCTGCTGGAAGGAATACTCACCAGCATCAAGATCTGGATGGTCTTGACCTCGCTTACACATTGGTCGATGGCCCGTGGGAGGGCTCTGACACGCTGGAAGTACGTCTTCCAGCTTGCATTGCGTGCCTCCAACATTTGGGATTGGATCTTCGACGCCGAGAACTTGACTCTGGGTATACAACGTCAGGCATGTGGCCACCACTCCAAACTTGAACGTACTGGAGCAAGCGGCACCCCGCATCAATTAATTCCATCTGGCTCCTCGCGCAGGTTGGCTTGGCGCGTTCCAATATTTCCTCGGTGGCTTTGATGGTGACTTCAAGTATGCTGGCCATCTTTACCGGACTATAGCGACGTGCAGCCAAGACTGCCAACCATATAAACGCAAGAGCGAGGCTGATGTAGTGCCAGGTCGTTCCAGAGATGGAAGTAAGTGCCCAGAATAGAACGGCGGATTTCAGGTTGGGGATCATGTCGCACATTGTGGGATTATCTGGGTTCGATGGTGGGGGGGATGTTTGGAAGCCAGACACGACAAGCCTCTCGTATTTATGTGAGCCTGATTTCCATGTTTATAAAAATAAATGGGTCACGCCGACTAAAGACGAACAAGTGGAGAGCTATGTACTCGAATCAGGAAGCGCGCTGTAGACACAAGAATCAAAGGGATCTAAGCAATCAAAGGGATCTAAACAATCAAATAGCAAAAGGTTCTTCCGGCAGCCCTCAAGATATCCATTCCCTCAAAAGGAGAAAGAAGCTGTTGAGTGTTCATTTCTTATTCGTTGAACGATGCAAGGTTGGCGGCGTCTTTCCTAATCGGAGTTTGTAGCTGTAGTATGGCCGGGCGCTTCATCGTCGTCCGAGTATGCTGGCGCGTCAGTAAAGCGCCGGTAAAGAGAGGCGGGAGAAAAAACCCGCAGCTGATTCGATCTTAGGCCTTACCGCCGGGCGCATCCGAATCATCGTCTGCTGGCGTAAAAATAGGCGCCGGTAACGAGAGACAGGGAGAGGAAACCCGCAGCTGATTCGGTAACACGTTGCGGTGAAATAGGCCTCGACGCCGACGCGGTGATGACTGATCGTCTGCTAAATAAGCGCCGGTAACGAGAGACAGGGAGAGGAAACCCGCAGCTGATTCGAGATCAACTTGCGGTTCCAGAACCAAAAATTGCAGCTCATGGTCGAGAAACCCTTGAATATTTGGGCGGAAGCTTCCGGTTTGTCGAAGCTCCTACACAGCTCACAAGAATAGCTCTTGAATGAGTCGACTTCTGTTCTCCGGTTGTCATTCATTGCTAAGAGCTTATAGAACATCCTCGATACTCTTTCGTTCGAATATTCCCGCGACTCTAGGTCAACCTTGTGAATGCGCAGATTCGCTCGGTCAGAAGATCAGCAGACGTTTCCAGTTAAACTCGTCGGTGGTAACACGGCAGATCTTGTCGTTTCTTCAATCCGTTGCTTCACCTTGAATATTCAGTCTTGATATCTTTGCAATGTATGCAATTATGCCGTAGACTTGGAGATTCGAACGCCATCGGCTGCTATAGGGAATTTTGTAGTGCCTAGATGATGGTGGCGCGCATCTTTTACTACCGACGAGTCCTGAATTGAATAACAAGAAGTTGATAACGAACGGGAATTTAACTTACCACAACGTCGGCGCGTTCGAGTTGTCACACGTGCGACCTTGGATATTGATTCTGAGTGACCTGGACTTGCGCTCGAATCACACAAATCAGATAGCCGAGTCGCAGATAATAATAATGCGCTTCTATTACCGCACGACGGAAAAAAACCTGCCACTCGGTTGCTCAGTGTTACCCCTATATCGGTAGGCGGCCCGGCTCTTATCTAATCAGGGATCTTTTAATTTTGTGGCCACAAAGTGGCTGTGTCGGGCGTTCTGCGTCATCTCCTGCTTCTCCTCTCCGCACTCGATGCCCGCCTCAAATGCGGCGCCCACCAGCGACAAGCTGGCCCTCGACAAGCCGACATTCTGCGGCACCATTACCGAGGCGCGCTACTCCGCCCGCGAGCGCCGCGAACGCAAGCCGCAGCCCTGGGCCGTGCGCAAGCTCATGGTCGTCGTCACCCTCGGCATCATGGGCTACACAGCGTACGTCTATGCGGGGCGCTTTTCTGTGCGGCTGATGCACAGCGGGCGGCGGCCGGTTGGAAGTGAGTCTTTCCTTGAGTGAGGGGTTGGATACTATCACTGACGATCGTTTGGCGCGCAGTCGGGCTGCTGACCGGGTGGTCGATATTGTACTTGTGGATGGTTTGGGCATATCTCAAAGTGCGCTCGAGTGCGAAAGGAGTTCCCCTTTCTTATAATCTCGTCGTTGCAGGTTATATTCACACCTCCCGGGAACGCCTGCGAGGTGCGTCTATCTCGTCTCTCGTAATTAGACAACATACTCACCACAGCGATACACAGTACATCCCAAAAACGCCCCAGCCCCTCTTCCCGCGCGCAGAGTGGGAGGCGCGTGACCACGACCGCGATGCAGAGTCGTACGACAGCCGCACCGCTGCGCTCGCCGACATCGAGGCGGGGCGCATCGGCGGCCCCGCGTACGATCAGCTCCCGCTTCCTCAGCCGGCGCACGTCCCAGGGACCACGCTCCCGCTGCCGGGGTCGAACGGGCATGTGCGCGAGGTGTCGGTTCCAAACGGCACTCCGCTTCCCGCCGTGAATAGAAACGGGCGCACACCGCGCGGGCGCTTCCCGCCAACGACGGCGGCGCTGCTGCCGCCACACCGTTGGTGCTCGCGGTGCTCGATCGTGAAGCCGTATAGGGCACATCATTGTCGTGTGTGTGGGACGGTGAGTGTTTTTGTGCCTGGTTTCGTTAAACCGTGTATTATACGTGGGGAATCGACTGTTGTCGATCTTGGCAGCTGCCTGTCATGCGTGGCGCTCCCTCCTTGGCCCGCATTTACTTTGAGAACTTATATTTCCCTCCATTTCGCCTTGCGACTGGAAACCTTTTTGCGTGGCGCTCCCTGCCCGCACATACTTCGAGAACCTGTACTTTCCTCGGTCTCGCCTTGCGCTGGACACGTACTCTCCAGGAACGGTTGAATGCTGACCAAATCGTCTCCGCCCACAGTGCATTCTCAAATTCGATCACCACTGCCCTTGTACGTCTTCTTTCCTCCTCCCTTCCTCATCCATCTTCTTTTGCCCCCACTAATCCCTCTCAATCAGGGATCGGCCAATGCGTCGGCGCGCGCAACCACAAGTTCTTCCTCAATTTTTCGCTCGCCACGCTCGTCTTCACGCTGTACACGTTCAGCTCGCTGCTGGCGTTTAACGTGAATGGGGGAGGATTGGGTGGAGAGGACGGGGATGTGGACCCGCAGGAGGTGGTCGTTATTGCGCTGTGAGTCACGAGTTAGTGGGTTGAGGGGTGACCTTGCGCTTGTGATGTCAAGTGGTGTTGTCGCCTGGAAGCCGTGGCCTGCATTGGCCCACAAAGATGGGTGGCTAGGCCCAGAAGGCGGGGCAAGCCAAGCCAAGCCAAGCCAAGTTCTGGCGTTGGCCTCAAAAGCCTGGCAACAAAGTCTCAGGAGGCTAAAGACCAACCCAGGGCTGGCTTTTGGCCCTGGTACCAAGGCCAAATGTTTGGCCTGAGGCCGAAGCCAGAAATTGAATAGCGGCTGGCGGGAGCCCTGGTCGTGCTTCGCGTGTCGCGGAGCTCATGCTTCACATATGCCCATACGTGACCCTTACTCCTCCCCTCTTTTTCTCCCTCCACCCTCCCACCCTCGACGCACTGACTAACGCCTACCTGTCTCCGCAGCGCCGCGCTCTTCGCGCTGTTCACCTCCACCCTCGGCGTCGCGCATACGCGGCTCATTCTGCTTTCACAGACGACGGTGAGTGTCTACTTCATCGATCCCCTTCACGCTAACGCTCATCTGGTTTTGCAGGTCGAGAGCCTCAGCGTGCAGCGCATGAAGGAGCGCGAGGGCGAGGGGTTGCGGGATGCCGGGATCGGGTGCTGGGAGCTTGGGTGAGTGTCTTACTTTCCCTTCCCTCCCTCGCATACTCCCTCCCCCTCCGGGAGTGCTTCCACATAAGAAACCGACCAAGTACTGACTCCCTGATTCCCCAGCGCCAAACGCCGCGCCCTCGCCGCATACGACGCGGAGTGGGGCGCGCCGGACACGGAGGGGAACGTGTGGTGGGCGGGGTCTGCGCGCGCCGGGTGGGAGGATGTGATGGGGAAGAGTGTGTGGGGGTGGATTTGTGAGTGTTTATTTCTTATCTTTATCCCTCCGCCTTCCCCGTCGCGGCGACCTTCCTGTGGCTTCATCTCCCCTCACCCTTACTTGACTCTCTCACCTCTCCTCTCACATACTAAGCATTCCTTCCGCAGTCCCCATCGGCGCCCCGCTCGGCGACGGGCTGCACTACCGTCCGAACCCGCGCTTCGACGCCGATGGCCGCTGGCGGCGGAGGAGCGAGTGGCCTGCCGAGATGAGGTAGCGAGTGTCATGAGGAGGAGCGGGTGGAGGACGAGCGGGAATCTATCTTATACTGGTATTACTTTACTCATGGATACAGACATACAAAGGAAAGGATGGTTACATGGATGCATTATGTATTTCTAATTCTCACTTCAATAACCTAGGTTGCGGAGTCATAGACGTACTCGAATGAATCGGGGTCGAGGGCTGGATTGGGGAGAGATCGCGGGGAAGTTTAGGGAGAGTATTTTAAAAAAAGAGAAAGCGACCGAAAAAATACACTGAAGGGGAGTCGAACCCCTGCCGCTTGCTACCCGAATTACGTAGCGGTTATAACGCTTACGTAAGCGCTGGAAGGCAAGCATGATAACCGCTTCACCATCAGTGTATTACTTGCACTGCAAGGAGAAATATATAATTAGCAATGAACGAGGTTGAAAGAATGAAGTGATTTGAATCAGAATTGAGTGAGATCGGTTTGATTGATGAGAAAAGGAAAATCGGGCGTAAATCACATGATCATTAGTTTCATGACACAGAGAAGAGGGATGAAATGGCAAGTGAAAAGGAATGGAATGATTTGGGTGGTTTTTGGTTGAAATTTGTGTGATTGATGGAAAATGTAAACCGTGCGAAATAAAAGTTTTGAAAGTTGAATGCTTTCAGTGGATTCTTGGTGGCTGGAACTGGATAAAGATGCAGGACAGGAAGTTGAAAAACAAGGCTGGTTTTATAGTGGTCTACAGTTCAAATAGCCTCTATTAGGCAGTTTGCCCTTCTCCAAAATTGAAATCTGAGCACAGAGTAAACTTTTGGTCCCATCGTTCCACAGAGCAAAAAGGCTCGGGAAGAAATACGACATTGGTATATCTTTTCACTTGATTCACCTGTGATCTCTGGAACTGTCAAAAATTTAGAGGTGGACTGGGGTTGGTTTGCTGGCACCTGGCGCCGGGGGTGCGCATATGTGTTACTTAGTCCAGTTCCACAATATGTTCAACTTCATCCTGGTCAAAAAATTGCACAAGGTGGAGAAGGACACAGAATATTGATGTTGTGCATCAAGAGGTGGTATAATATGAATCCTAGTGCATCAGGACAAACATACCTATCTCCGGTAGGACATCATCTTCTTGTCCAAAATTTTTAGCTCTTTCAAACCATGCACCGCTCCCACAGGTCGCCTCCTTGCGTTTGAGAAACTCACTCCAGGAAATTCTCATATATATTTGGCGGTGTGAATAACCTCTCCCTGGTCGTGGTGCATGTATTCTAGAAGAAGAGTTGGAGTTTAGGAATGTTAGTGTGGTCAAAACCAAAACAGATGGTGGAGAGGTCAGCTTGTTCATTAGGGTTGTTCACGGTTGTCCTTTTTTTGCTTCCTTTTTGCTCTCCTTTTTCATTTCCTTTTTGTGCTGCCTTGTTAGCTGCCTTCATCAGGAAAAACTGTTTTGCTACCTAGGCAAAAGCAAAAATATATAGGGCCTGTAGCCCCCATAGCTTGCGGCTGTCACTCAATAGTCCTCCGTAGCCCTCGTAGTCGTACGCCAAGTATCAGTAGCGGTTGATAGCCGCCGGCAACGGATCAGTAACCCGATAAAGCTGTAAGGCCGACAGGCGGCAGGGCCCGGTAATGAGATGAATTCAACATGCACATCAGACCAGACCCAGCTCATCGTCGCAGTGGAAGAAGAACTACAAGAGTGACTACTCGCAGACTGTGCCCAGTCCTAACGAAATTAACATCAGGAGGGCAAACAGGATGACTTTGACGTGGATCAGAACGGCGCGGTTGAAGTATTTGGGAACTAGAATCCAATCTCTATCTCCCAGCGAGTTTAAGGGAGGTAACTCGTAGCGTAGCCGCAGTGTGTTGTCTTGACACGCAGTAGGCATTCGTGTCGGGAAAATATGTACTAAGGGGATTGTGTCTCTCTGAAAAAGTCAAATGCTTGCGAAATTGAAGCACAGGGCAAGTTGGATTCATGAACTCTGACATACACATCAGCTCGCGCCGCCTACGGAAACACATACCTTTTTTCACAGGTGAGATTTAGCAGGTCTTCGCCTTTCTCTAGTAATACCATTCGCCCTCTGTCCCTTGCACAGAATATATTTATTCGTACCAAAATCTGCAAGGAATTCAATTGCACGGTGGTCCAAGGTTTTCAATTAAAGAAATTCATTTTGAATGAACTTACAGCTGCGAATAAGGGCCAAGAAAGCGAGGACATGGCCAGCAAATATCAGCCTTCATCCCGCAAGAAACCACTACTGTACACTGTCTAGGACTGGGAGGCAGAATTAAGGTACAGACCAAGATGCAGGGAAGGCTATATCGGAGGACAACAAAGACGAAAGACTTAGGAATTTCTATATTCAGAAGTATTAAGAATTGAATGCTAAGCACAACCTGCCCAAGATGCTCGTGGCGCAGTTGATTTTGATGGTGCAGATTACTGAAGGGAACCAAAGCAGGCTGAATGGAGGAATGCAGATGAATGGAAGGGAAGTCAATTAAGAGGTGCCATAACTTGTAAGGTACGCTTAACGGCCATTATTCAACCAGACAGACCACTTTCTGAGACTATAGAGTGTCCCATATTAGACGAATTGGTTCTCCCCATTGGTCCAGGCAGCATAGACAGGACTATTACTAGTCCCACAAGATGGGCCGTCGCTTTCTCCTGCAGATGACGGGGAGCTTGCTTGTAACGTTGAGATTCATGGGCCAGATACAAATTATGGAATGTGACCCACGGCAAAGAGAGCAACATAAAAATATTGATCCCAATAGTTGTTTTGCAGAGACGACCACACTGGGTGGGATGGACCACCAGGACAACAGAGAAGTTCAAGATTTCAGTGGAGCACAACCTCCAATCATTGAATATATTGTTTACAAACATGCAGTAAACAGCTTCAAGTCAGTGGGGAACATGGACCATCCATCTGACCAGCTAAGAGACACGGAAAATCTAGTAGGCCAAGGTCAACAGGCATGAAAACAGGACACCAGAATAGCGGCAGGCAATCGGCCAGATCCGCCAGCATCGCAAGAAACAGAGATTCACCACGAGGACCATCACGTTCTGCAGGAGACATAGAAAGAGTTTTAGTGCAGCAAATTGAGCATGGGAAAAAAGCACAAAAGATCACATATTGCTACCCAGACCACATAAGTTACTTTTGAAGAAACCTCGGGGGTGTATGCGGCAGCAGGCCACCTAATCTATGCAATGCATGGGCGGCAAACTGGGTTTCATTGCGGATCACAGTAGAATAAGTCAGGCAGATGGTCTCAAGACAGAGAAGCTGCATGGTCTGCGGGACTGTGGGTCAGTTGACTGAGCGCATGTGAGTTTTGGAATGGAGAATGATTAAGGCTCGAGACATTCGGGGACTGGTTGAACATGCATCGAGACCAAGACACTGCGCAAAAAGCACAGCAGGATATATTGAAAGGAGTTAAAACTTAAGGGAGGATTGTAAGAAGAGAACGAAAGAGCCAGGGAGTAAGGGGAAATTGCACCGCCGAACAGGCGCTAAAGAACAGTTAATAATTGCACTCTTTGTAAAACACATAAACAATGATGTGGTTGAGGACAGCGACAAAATCGGACAATGTTCTAAGCAGAATTATGTACTCCTGGCGGCAATCATTGGCTCGCCAGCCGAAGTCAAGAAGCCGAGTGATTTTGGCTGGGAGAGATCAAGAAATCACCGCTGACGCAAAACTGCTGACAAAAATGGGATGCACGGCCAAAATCTGAAAATCAGGCTCTCTAAGACCCTTTAACTTATGTTACCGGGAATATATTTGTGATCCAGAAACCACCCTTGCCTTGCCTTCCCAGGACTGTGTACGATGCGCAGGGCATGAAGGCACAACATCTCGGGAAGAGTAACTTCACTGCAAACCATACTGGCTCACAGTAAATTCACAGGAGCCAAATGAAAATTGTACAAGTCTTTCAAACTCCGCCAAACACGTGCTCGACTGTGGGATCAAACAACGTGATGGTTGGTTGATGACAATGTCCGGTGATCGCCTCTTGTCTTTTGCCCCCATCTTCCCTCCCTCCCTGACGCTCCCGCGCTCTCCTCTCCCTCCCCACTTCCTCCTCCTCCTCTCCCCTCTGTTCTCCGATCACCCACATACTCTGCTTACACTCTGAATTTCAAGATGTCATTATCTGCCCCTCGGTGATTTGCTCTCAGCTCTTATGACGTCCTCAAGCCTCAAGCCCAGACTCAAGCTCAAGCTCATCAAGAGTACATAAAGCCTCAAGAATGCGTCTATTTAGGCCTATGCTTGTTCTCACCGTCTACCTCAATGAATAATCAAGGCCTCAATTTCGACTGTCTCAAGTACACAGCCCACTTCAGACTTCTTACGGTAGATTGGGGTTGGGGCTATATCCAGAGTTGGTCAGCGGACATTTGAACGCGGTAAGCAGCCCCGTGGATTATCACAATAGCGGCTCAATTTTCAAGTGCTTGCAGCTCCTCCACACGATCTTCATCAGCGGCATCGCCGGGCCTGAGAGGTTTCTCACGTCGTCCTCGCGACCATCTTCCGCTAAATACCATCAACATCGGTGCGTTCTTCCGACCTTGAGCCTTATCCCTCCACTTGTTCATTTTTTCATCTGTTTAGCACTTTTGGGTGGGCCCAACGCAACACCTCTCAAATATACCTGCCCACGCTCCCTGCGCTGCACTCGGGCACCCTGATACTGTGTTTAAAAGGGCAGTATCAGGGTGCAGCACCAGTGTCTAATGGTGCGTTCCCACCCTCTGATGTACATTAGCTTTATCTATTTGTGTTGTTGCGGCCCGTTTTGAATGAAATTTATTTATATATTTTGTGCGATCTATGATGAATATTGAGTGGTATTGAGCACTACAAAGTACTACGATAGCCTCCGGTGAGAAGTATTATGTGCTACGGAGGGCTATGGAGCTTCCCTGCGAGGGCCATGGAGGGCTACCATACAGCCGGTTTCAAAAGTATGTACGGGTTTCCTAAAATATCACCATTCGATTTTTGCTTAGCTTTGTTTGCTACCGCATCCCGCCCCACCAACGTCATAATGGCAACGCACGGTGTTGTGACTCCACCATTCGCACAAGCCTGGCTGAGGCTGGCTCTAACACATACCTTTTGCTTCATACACTCGGAGTGTAGGCAGAGCATAGATTCCCTGGTTATCGCGCCGATACCACAACAAGATCTTCGCGCCAGAGCTGAAAGAGATTCGAAGGTCCTTGGTGATTTCGGCTTGCTTCTGATGTCGGCTATAGTGCAGATGGATCGGACCGTCTCTTCAACTCCGGAAATTCGCTTTTGGAGGGCATGGCTGGGTGTAAAAAGACGAAAGTGTT